GAAAGTATTTATATCAATTCTACAATTAATGTTCATATCGTATATAGAAACTGAATTCTTTTTGAAAAAAAAAAAACACTCTCATGATGTGTATTTTACATGCCACAAAGTTATCGTTTTTTTCTGGAAAAAAGTGGCCTAGACTAAAACTTTCTTGTTAATGCTTACCGCACTTTAAGCGAAACTTTCCACGTACGGCAATATTTTCCAATTAGACACGTATGCGGTCTCATTATCTTGTTATCAGGACTGCTGAAGGCAACCAAACTACCGGGGAGAGAAGCCGGCTCTTGCGGCGAAGCTCAGTGATCCTGCAATAATTACTTGCCTCACCTCTCGGCTTACATTCCTTCCCGTGTATATAAGAAAATGCGTTCTCGACAAAATACTTCGGTTATTCTAACAATAAGTCATTCAGTTACGGAAATATGAGAATTTGTGATTTAGTTGCAATAATTACAGATAATAACTCTCATTGCGGTGATTAAACAATTTCATTAATTACTTTCTTATTGAGAGCAGTAAACTTTGATTTACTAATATTAGTAAATTAATGAAAAATTTATAAACAGTTTATGATTTACGTTTAATCGCTTACTAGTGTTTCCAATGGAAAATTATTTAATATTTAATGCTGAGCAGTACGATAAATGAGTCACAAATTATATCAGGAAAACAAACTGCGGATTCCTCCTTTGTTTCGTAATAAACTTTTAGCTTGCGCAAAATACCTTAATAGTATTCCACAGTATTCTAGTTGGAAGAAGTTAAAAGTTACAGTAAATAGATTATATGCTTACTACCTAAAGCGCGTGGAGAATCACTCGTTTGTACTAGCGCGAAATTTACTCGTGGCAAAGGCAATTTTATCAGATAGTAGAGGAATACCTTCTCTCCCAACACCCAATGAAGATACTTTTAAAGATTTATTCTCATTTCGACGTCGTCGTTCGTCGCACGCAAAATTAAATTACTATAAATTCTCTTTAAAATGTGATATTCGTTGCAAAGTGTCGCGCCACAAATTCTGACTACATTTTCAACTCGGTTGACATGTTTGAAACATCGTGTCCCAAGCAACGCCTGAACAAACTGTCATGATACGCACTAAAAATATCGATACATTCGTGCGCAGAGCAAAATTATATTATATCGTATCTGATGCGAAACATAATAGTCTTGCGAACAATTTATTCTTGAATGCAAATACATGTTTATTTCTAAATTTTTGATTTTTATAGTTTGAATTAATTTGCTTTTTTACGCACTATCTTTTTTGGTGTCGTGTGTGTGTATGTGTAACAGTTTTATATATACATATGTATATATATATATATATAATATATTTTTTCATAAGAACACAGGACAACATTTATCAATTTCTAATGGCATTTATGTATTTTACATGATTTATTGCAAGCTCGCTTCTGTAACTGTCAGTTCACATTGTAATAAATATGCATCCGCTTGAACGGATGGCAAAAAAATTTAAAGGCACCTGACATTTATTTTGTTGAAAGAACAGAAGCAACATCATTATTCTTACTTCAATATTATTAATCACTGCGTTCATATAAAAATGAAACTCGCGGGAGCCAGAGTTACGGCGCGAGCGCGCGCGCAATAACAATATTTTCTATAAATCCGGAGTTATTCTTTGTGCCAAGGACTGTAATTCGTTAGCATGCCGAGCAAAATATTGTCATGTTTTTTAATGTTAATATTTTCCACCATCACTTTAAAAGTTTGGATAAACAAATATTTTTTTGCAAAAAAAGTACGACTATTAGCTTTAAATATATTATTTGTAGGAAAAACAATAAAACGCGATTGACGCGTGTAACAATAAAATATGATTTTGCGCAATTTTAGAAAAATAAAAAATCGCAGAATTGTAAGAAGTTTGTTTTTGAAAATAACAGACTTTTAAACGAGGAGATTCCTTAGCATTGCTCGAGCAGCGAATTATGCAGAAGACATTATTTTTCGCAATTTATAGTAGCAACATGTACCACGTTTCGCCGAAGTCAACTCAGCACGCATACACATATACTTGCGTCTGAATTGCTTAATCTAAACTCCCACGTAGAGCCTTATGCACGGGCGCAATTCCATTAGTAACAAATCTTCGCCGCGAGACTCGTTCCTCGCTATGAAAATCGGTAGCGCTTTATCGTTCTTTGCTTCGTTGCGCAGGATCAATCCTCGAACGACATTCAAATCTCCTTGTAAAAGCTATTCTGAGCCATGCATTTTCTACCCGCATATCGAAATGCATCGATCTCGCTAACGGATGTACAATTTTTTGTATTGTACTTTGTATTTTATAAAAAAACGTTTGAACAAAATTGTTATGCTTTTACAAATTTTTTTGTAACATTTTTGAAGATTATCAACATTGAAAACAGATATTTCTCAATTCACTGCACAGTAGTTCTTCGCACGTATCGACGTTAGAATGAAAAAGCAACATTCTCTGCAGCACACAAGCAGACATACCTTTTCTGGTTTGGCGGCTTTTGACCCAGCATCACGTTTATTTCACTGTGCGTTTCACACCCGACATTTATTTCGTTTCGCGTCTTTCTTCCTCGACGCTATGGAACCGCGTCGTCAAGGAAAAGTAATTTGTTGCTTATCGCGTATAAAAACAGAGACGGAGACTCTTTCTCGCGAAGAGAAACATAACGTTATGAATACACGACTGAAGCAAATATCAATTTTGTGAGTTTGAGCTCGCAGAAGCAGATATATCGCGGACTTTCAAGGTAATTCCATTTCTGGATAACGAGAACTGACGCTATTTCAAGGTTTAGAAGACCTTGTCTCGTGTGATCCGTACTTTTTATCGGGAGTTATTCTCGTTAGGATGTGAATTTTAAAAAAGATTCATGCATGTCTGAACATAGTAGACCATTTAGATTATATTTTAATATGTTAGTATATAACATACACATTTGTGTTAGAAAACATTTTAGAAGAATTTACGAATATCAGAGTTTGTTAATTATTAATGTTAATTTTATCGCACATATTAAGCATTTTTGTCATTTCTGCCGAGTTACTGAACTCATGACAACGATGTGAACGAAAGTTCTGTGTCCGCGTTGAACAACATGAAATTGAGTAACGCAAAATTTCACATGTCGTTTACAAGATACACGTCCACGTGTGCGCTAGCGGTTGTGTTAAAACGCGCGCCACACGTGTGCCGACGAATGCGCGACCAATACGACCCACTCGTAAATATACTCGTATGGATTAACACATGGTATGATGTCACTTTTTCTTTTTTTAGCGAATTAATAATAAAATCGCGTTGCACACTAAAAAGAGTGTCTTGTTAAACATTTTATGTTACACATGCTTATACAACTGTGAAATATTTTATGGATACGACTTTATAGAGTTGCAATTTTATTAAAACTTCAAATTACATTACGATATCGGAAATGCAAATTTTTGTTGTTATTCGGATTCTTGGCAAAATTTATTTCGCGAAATGTCTCCCGCATGGGTGTCCGTCGGATGTTCAGAATTTACTACCGTCAGGCTAGATAGGAAGCGTGGGCCTCGCATGCTTCCGAAATTTTACGGGTGACAATACGACGTCGAGTGCGGTTTGTCGCTCCGAAGATATCTGTCGTTGGCGCAGCTGCATTCGTCGCGATCGTAAATAATGGTCGTATTTGGAGTACGTCGAGTAGGCAACTCATAGGCGACATCCTCTCTACGCCTACTATTAAACGCCGCCAGCAGCTCGTGAAAATACCTACGCCTAATTATTACACGTGGATGACTTCCTCGAGAATACGGAGAAACGCCTCGATTTCTATTCTTGAGCGATCTTAAGATTTACGCGTTCTCGCGGTGTGACATAAATACCGTGAAATCATCCCTTGCGTGTAGAGTCTCTCTTACACACAGCTATTTTTTCAACTTCTCAAATATCGCGCAATATTTTTGCTTAATATATAAGTTTATTTTTTTATTTTTTACCTATTATATGTCCGACACACATTCCCCTACGATTGGCACACGCCTAATTTTATATATACATGTATATATATATAGAATAGACACATTTGTAAATAACATTAAGTTATAGTGTAAGTGTGTAGAAAAAAAGGTTGCAATAGAAAAAATATAAATTCGATTCCCGCGGCAACTCTGTGCACTCTTGGTGCAAGAGTAATAAATTGTCGAATTAAGGATTACGTTGAACATCCTATGCAACAATCTCTGTGCAGCAGCGACTCTGTTCTCCTGACGCGGTGAAAGAGGATTTACTCATCTCTGTAACTCTCGTATGTACTCGCGATCAGGGCGGATTTTGAAGCGCGACATTTCCTCGCGTGTGTTGCACGCGTGTACGCTGCGAGCGCAGGTGTACACTGAGCGGATTACAGCCAATAAAAGCGCAGTAAAATCTGTTTTGTAGCCGCGTTCATAGATGTATGACGAATATAGTAGTATTGTCTTTCAAAACTTGATATGAACTTAGATGTAAAAATTCAATTGGAAGAAATATGATCCCGTGCAATTTGGATAAACCGATAAACATATCTTAGCGGTAATATCTTAACGGTAATATTAAAATTTATAAAACATAAATACGATATATTATTTGTGCGAAATTTTCGAAATTCAGAAAGGTTAAAATTACAAAAGTACACAATAATTATTCTTAAACTCTTGAGTCGAAATTGAAATAATTTTAGTTAATCAATTCAAATGCCGACGTTCTCTCACATTTATATACGATAGTTATCAACTATCTAGAGCTTTCAACTCCAGCGAAAACTGACCCTCGAGTCACGGAGCATCAAAGACTTGAAACCGGAGATCACTAAAGTGGCATTTCCGTCTCTCGGCCGAGCGCCGGCCTACCTGTGGCTTTCGTTCACCCCTCGTTTACCCTTTAATTCACCTCGAGCCAATTATCACCCTTGGCTGAACGCTTCACACAAAACAGACTCATTCGGTTATTTTCTACTTACCTAAGCGGCATGTTGAATCACTCCATCGGCGTGACAGGTGGTTCAATTAATCAGACAGTCTTTTCTTTGCTTCCGGAAAATAGAGAAACAGATCGAAATCTCTTCGATGGACGATCACAGACTCAAATGTTATTTTCTTCTCAAACGCGCTCACGCGCTTCGCGACCGCTAATAATTTCGCGTCGAAAACTCTCGTGAGCCACGCTCTCGGCCGAAACAAGATCCGACGGTGGCGCCAATATCCAAGGTCGACCCGCAAGGTCACAGTCTTCTTCCGGGCCAGGCCAGCCGGTGCGATCGGAAACGACGATCGAGTCGAATCGCGCGCGTGCTCGTATCGAGCGTAAGTCTCGATGCGCGAGCAATCGCGCGTGCCTGCCGCCCCTCTGTCGCGTCCTGCAGCTTTCTCTCACGTCTTCGCGAAGATCCTTGTCACACACGCGCGATGTCCCACGATCTGCACCACGGTCCACCACTCACTGACAAGGGTCCCTTCGTGACACTTGCTACTTCCTTCTTGATTTTTCTCCCTCTCCTGCCGCCGGCTGCTCTCCTCCTCTACCGCCTCCGCCGGTGTCGTTCACGTCGTCGTCGTCGTCGTCGCCTCGACGCCTCGTGGTCACGATGCTCGGAGTCGTGTTGCTCGGAGCGCGTGTGACACTGATTTATGCCGATTTCATCAGCGACGGGCGCTAACGTTTACATATGGTTTAGCCACTTTCTCACCTTTGTGTTCTACGATATCTCGCTGCTCGTTCAATGTGACTGTGTTCGCTTGCCTTTTATTGCTCGTTCTAAATCGGCAAGGTCGTCACGTGGAGGCAAAAGAAACTGTTACTCGGCGGACAATGACAGCGGTGTCACGTGGCGGTGATACACGACGCCGGTATCAGACACCGTTGACAGGTGTGATCGGAAACTCGTACCGGTATCTTTCTCTCCTTTATTTCCAGTCACTTCTCGTGCCAGTCGCTCGACAATCTATTTTTATTTTTAATGTGTTAAAATTATTCTATTTTATGAGAAATAATAACTTCAACTTTGAAATCTTTTTAGTAACTCTATCGTAGATTACGATACTTATCATTTCTTATATTTTATTGCATAGATGAAACCTCTCTTTCCGAGCTGCTTAATTGACTTGTTTTGACGTGTCTTCTTTACACTTTTGAGTAGTATTATTCTTTCTGCTGAGAATTCTCTTCTGATCTGATAAAGTTTTTAAATAAATAAATGCGCGCGAAATTAATGATTCGTGTGTGACAAAGGAACCACAAAGTAACCACCGGTGCGAACGATCGCGCCGACACGATGGAACAGTAAGCCGTAGTCGGTGGCGGCTGATTCAAATTCACTCCCCACGTGGCGGCGACGGTGTCGTGCCTGAGACTGCCGCCAGTTCAACACCCACCGCCGGTCAATGCGTCGCCATCTCACGGCTCGCAGATTAACTACTTTTACCGCTGAGAATTCTATTCAAAAACATTGCCTTTAACATTACATTTTAACTAATCTTCTCCTCTAATTAAATCAACAGCGACAGGTTGTATTTTTTATAAGTATACAAATAGATATTCAAATTTTATTTTACAATTATATTTGCATAAAAGAGGAGAAAACTTTATGTGCAGAAAATAATTATGTTAGCACATAATGTAACATATAATGTAACAAAATATTCTAATAAAAATGTGAAAGGATGAAATACATTAGATGCTTTCAAATTCATTAATCATACGTGTTATGCGAACTTTAGCAACGAGTAAGATGCATGTGTCAACGTTAGCATGCTATAATACTACCCGCATCAATTTGGAGGATATACCATCTGATCCGCCACAATGTCAAGGATTTATCATCCGAATTGCATTCGTGCGGTTTGTAATATGATCTAAGATCCGGGTCATGCTCATAAAGCAGATCTTAATGTGAATCTGTTCTGAGAATGTATTCTATTCGCTCCGTCAATATCGTAAGGTCAAAGTCAAAATTAAAGTTAAATTTACTTAGAATATTATATGAGATAAAGTATTACACTGTATACTTATTAATTACAAAAAAATATTTTGATGTATTCTTGAAATATAAGTTAATATAAGTAAAAAGTAATTTTTAATGTTTTTTTTTTTCAGTTTTCTGTCAGTTGATCCACCTCCATGTGAGTTTGTTCCACTCATTCTTACACTCGTATAATGAACCGTGACATTTGGATGACATAGGTCTGATCCACGTGATTCGCGATGCGTTATTTCATGTTTAGCGATGGACTTGCTTTGACACCGAACATGCAAGATAATTTTGCGACCGCCGTACTACATAACCGTGTCGTATCGTCGCATCCCCATTTTACGATACATTTGAGACCACGAACGAGCAGGACGAGTTACAATTTTTTTCAATGCAAAAAAACATTAGTCCCTCGAAGAAGAACCGTCGCGATGTTAATTGAAATTGTAAAATGGCCGAGCCGACAACAACAAAGCGCCGTTCCCGCATTTACGTCCGTTCGTGTAATTTAGCGAGAGATTTCAGTAAGAAGCGTCGCAACATTTGGAAAGGAAAGAGAGCGAAATCGGTGAATAACGACGTGGGACAAAGTGTCGCGCACAGGTGCGCACCAAGAATCTCTGAAAATGCGGGAAAGGCAGAAGGTAGGAGGAGAGAGGTTGGAGCAATTTGTTTGGATCCGGTGAGATGCAGGTGAGATTAACCCTTCGTCGGCGTGCCGGAAAATTATTACGCTGTCAGTTTGAGCTACATCGATCGAATACGTGTCTTGTGACAAAATTGAACGTGGAAACATCTTTTCTTTTAAGACAATTAAAAACTATTACATTGAAAAAATATAGATATGCTACATATTAAAATTCTATTAAATGTATTGTATACAATTAATTATTATAAAATTAATGTTATTATTTTTTATACGTGCAGAAGTCTTACGTTTTTTTGTATGTGAGATGCAAAAAAGAAAGTTTTTAATTTATATTATATTCAATATGTGTAAACCTGATATAAATAATGTAGTAAATTCTCATTTCGTATCATACACACACACATCATATATATATCGCGACAGCATTCTCACGTTTTTTATATAATAGAATTATTGTAGAAAAAATAGTGAAGTAGCAATATACGTCTTGATGTAAATATAAATTTACTCTTGTTACAAGATACTGATTGGAGATTACCTTAGTAGCGTTTAAAGGGAAAAAGAAAAAGTCATTTGATTACATGAGCGGTAAGTTCCATTAGTAGAGGTAGCCGCGAATGGTCGAAGTCCATTTATTAGTTGAGCGGACAAGATCGTTACAGGGGTAAACTTTCACGAAGAAGAAGTTTCTAGCCGAACAACGCACGCTCGCTCGACCGTTCGGAGAGATTTGCACTTAGGCAACTTATTAACCCGGTTTAATCGTGCCCCGTCGAGTCAAACTCCTCTGATTGGTGCTGGATGACGTCGGCGTGCTGTTTAATCCCTGTACGGAGTCACGAACTAATTTCACGAACTACGTTTACAACGTCCTCTCAGTACGTTTGAGATCAGGATGGATTAAAGAACTACAACAAATCTCACCTGTGTGAGAATCGATTATACATGCTTCGCGTACTTTTGTACGTAAAGAACATGGAAATATTTCTTGTCTGCTAATTTTCTTCTTTTAATAAATTATATATAAACATTTTATACATGTAACAGACATGTAATTATATTCTTTTTTAATTTTAAATTAGATGTGATTTACAAATTTCTTGTTATGTTGACAGATCAATCAATTTGCATGTTAACAGCTAGATCGCTTTTCGACTACAGACAAAGCCTCTCAAGACAGATTCTGCAATCGACAGTTCCCCATTAAACTCTAACGAGCATATCAAGTCTTGTCGCAAACAATGACTGATTAAATCTTCTATTCTGTTAGTATGGAACATGTTTTTGAGTGTGAGAGAGAGAGAGAGAGAGTGTGTGTGTGTGTATCTGTCTGTCTCTCTGTTGTGCTTTCAAAGTTGTCTATATAACATATCTAAAAACTATGCATGTTTTTTAACAAGAGTCAGAAATAATTAAAGAGGTAAATAGATAATAAATATCTTTAATAATCTCTTAATGTTTTTTAATCATATTGAATGTAATAAAATTTTATAATATATTTTCAAGAAAAAACCGTATATATATATGTTATTTTGACAGTATAACAATATGTAATAGTATCTATGTAAAAAGACACGAAAAGAATTTCTTTCGATTTAGTTTGTATTTTTCGCAATTATTATCGTCTCACGCACAAATATGTGAATGTCATGTAAAATATTGCATGTAGGTATCCTATCAATTTGAAAGTGCTACATTGACATTTATCGACAGTAAAGTAGATGTAGCATGGATTCAAACCTTACATTTTTATCATCCACATTGTTTATGCTTGAACGTCGCATCGTAGTTCTTACTTTTGTACATGTACGGCGCTGAAATCAGCAGCCGAAAGGGACACAAAAATAACAAAGATAGAAAGTCAGTAATGTTATTGGTTAGGGATACCAATGTCGCGCATGCGTGTTTAGTTTTGTCGCGTACATCAAAAGCCGCGTTCCGATATTCACTACCAATACTAAAAATCTACATTTCACGTCACATATGCTATGAATTCTTAGTACTGGCAGTAAACATCGGAACGCAGCTAAAGATACAGACAAGAAGTTGCGCTACTATATGCACGTGTGCAAGTTTTTCCCCCTACTTCCTTCACACTATTTCGTAAACTGCGATGCATGTATGGAGGCCTTAATACTTTGCTTCGAGAGAGAGAAGGAGTTCCCACTCGTACGTACTACATTCTCCTACTTCGCCGCAGCTACTGGATAGCTAATCAGTGGCAGCTCCTTTCCCTCTCACAAAGCGAATTATCAAAGGCTTATGTATATCTCGGTGCCGTTACCTTGTAAGTAGTGTGGTTCAGTGCGTTTTAGTTTCTACAGCTGTTTGTGAGCTAGTGGTGTTTTTTGATTCTGCGATTTAATACTCGCATAGCGGACAATATACAGACAACATAATACGGTATAACAGAGTGACTTTTTCTAACAGATCTAAACGTTTCTACATTATTTTGTCGTCAAATCGTGTGCTGCAGGTCTTTTCGCATCAACGAGAAGCCCCATATCGAGCTGAAACCACGTATTTGTTCATACACCAGATCTACTGACAACATTTGCGTATACACCTTCGTTGGTGAGTATGTGCATGTATTACGTGGCACGCCGTTGTCGACGGCGATTTTTTTCATACTAACGAAATCGTCATCTATTATTAGAAACCCATGCGAGAAAGCACTGACTTACTTTTCGGCTCGGAGGCGCGGCTTACACGCCTTCATTTCCAACCAATCGCCTTCGTTTGACACGTCCGTGTTTAAAGAACTTGCGTTTCTTTTTCTCTTGCTCGGAGATATAATATTGATAATGTCTCTTTGCGATAAAAATTACATGTTTTTTTTTGTCACCTTATTTTTTAATCTCGATCTCGATTATTTTTAGCATTTAATTAGCACACATGTATAATTTTTAGAGAAACGTATAAATTGACTTTCTGAAAAAGAAAACATTTATTATATATAGAAGGAATTAGTTTTTATTTTACAGAATATATAATTGTGTAACTCCGACTTACATTTTACTCTAAATTACATGTTACTCAAAATAGTTGACCAATATGTAGCGCTGTTATTAGTACAAATGTACGTGTGTGTATTTTTCCATGTGACATACGGAAAAGTTTATTTGTTATTTCGACTTATCACGTGCTGAAAAATAATTCACACGATTTTTTGTTTTTGGACGTCACATTTTGATATGACGAAGATATCTTTACGTTAGTTCAAATGAATGCGATCTTAAAATATCCGGTGTTGGACCTCGTGCTTTTCTTAGGGTCAAAGTCCGCTTTCTGAAACAAGATTTTCTAACTGGAACGCGATCAACACGCTTATGTTGCACGCAATAGGCGATTGCACTTTTATGGCTATCCAGACAGCTCGTATCGCATGCAGTCAAACGAAGTGATTACTCAAGCAAAAAAAAGAGAAAAACGTACTTTTTAATTTGTTGTTCTTGTTATTATTTAATAAAAATTTTTATATTATTATAGTTTTATATACATATAACAAAAGTAGACAATTTTGCAAATGATGAAATTCTTTTAAATACAAAACTGTTTTCAGCAAACTTATCGATTAAAACATATTTAAAAACGAATTTTGTAATGTATTGTGATCACATCTATTGGCTTCTTAAAGTATTTCTTCTACTTCTAAATTTCTGTGATTTTATTTGAATATTTAATGAAATATATGTAAAACATTATATAAC